GCAGAACAACTCCTTGGCGTCTCTGACCGACCGCAGCTTCTCCGGCCTCAGCAGGTTGGAGGTCAGCCTGACGCCATGGCGATGCCGTCGGAGGGAGAGAGAGGATAATTAGAGCTAGGGATCGAGTTGAACCTCATCAGAACGATGAAAACTGAAAAGTGTGTCCGCTCTGCAGATCCTGGACCTGTCGGCCAATCGCATCTCCATCCTTCCTCCTCTCATGCTCCACCCACTGTCAGCCATAGAAACCCTCTACCTGGAGGACAACCAGGTGAGCAGCTGAATCCCAGCCATGCTAACACAGCATGTTAACAGATCATGCTAACACAATGCTAACACAACATGCTAACATACCATGTTAACAGAGCATGCAAACATACCACGCTAACACAGCATGCTAACAGATCATGCTAACACACAATGCTAACATTGCATGCTAAAAGATCATGCTAACATACTATAATAACATTGCATGCTAAAAGATCATGCTAACGTACTATGCTAACATTGCATGCTAAAAGATCATGCTAACATACTATGATAACAGATTATGTTAACACACAATGCTAACAGCATGCTAACAGAATATGCAAGCACTTCTTGTTAACACAGAATGCTAACACACCATGCTAACAGATTGTGCTAACACAGCATGCTAACACAGCATGCTAACACAGAATGCTAACATATTGGGGTAACACACCATGCTAACACACAATGCTAACAGATTGTGCTAACCGACAATCAGCTGACGTCTGCTCCTGGTTGTCAGATCCAGGTGATGCCTGACGGCTGGTTCAGCCAGAAGGAGGACGTGCCGTACCTCTACCTGTCCCTCAACCCCTGGGCCTGCTCCTGTTCCCTCGATTACCTGCGCAGATACCTAGACGACTTCGGGCTCAACGTCTACGTCAGAGACGGCGCCCTCATCAGCTACGGCGTGGACAACGTGGTGAGCCGACTCTCAGTGACTGTAATAACTGCTTCTGCTGCCCTCTGATTGGATGAAACCTTTCCTGGAGGAAAGCCGCCATGTTGGTGGCGAGGAGGCGGAGCCAGGACGGTTCATGTTGGCATGGAGACGGTTTGTAAACACAGCCTTTACTCATCCAGGACCCAGTGAGACACAGCAGGGAGTCCTGGTCAGGAAGCCTTCACCAGTTCACTGTACTGGCCTGAAGGGCTAACCCTGACCCACCAGCAGGGGGCAGCGTTATTTAGCATCTCCTCTTCAAATCAGATGTTGCCGTTTCCATCAACCGTTGCTTCAAAACGTTTTCATAAAAACCGTGAAAGTGAGGAGGAAATGTTCCCTGAACGTAGACCTGCGTCACTCAGACGCTGCTGCTGCTCATCTGGAAGCTAAACTGCTAACTCTACTCCCAGGTCTGCGACTCTCCGCGGCGCCACCGGGGGAAACCTGTGGTGACTCTGGAAGAGTCCGATCTCTGCCCTCCAGTCACAGAACCAGAACCAGAACCGCCTGGAGACTTCTACCAGCCTGTGACATCACTTCCTGCCGACCCGACGACTCCGGCTGCTCCAGAACCTCCGGCTGCAACCTCTCGTCCTCAACCCACGACCCCTGACCTCATGACTGCGTCTGCAGAGCCGGCCTCAGCCCGCCACAGAGTCACACGTCCTGGTACCAGACCTTCACCAGTCCGCAGCAACGCCCCCATCACGCCAGTTCAGAGACGCCAACAGGAAGTTCATCAGTGGGCTGGTTCAACCCGACCTCACACCCGACTCCTGAAGTTCCCCTAACTCCTGAAGTTCCCCTAAAGACTGAAGTTCCCCTAACTACTGAAGTTCCCCTAAATACTGAAGTTCCCCTAAATACTGAAGTTCCCCTAAATACTGAAGTTCCCCTAAATACTGAAGTAGTTTCAGGAGTTCCTGCCAGCAGGGGGCAGCATGTCAGCGTGGTTCCTGCCAGCAGGGCGGCGGTGTTGTGTGTCTGGCTGTCTGCAGGTTGTCTGCTGCTCTGCGCGGCGGCGGCGCCGTTGGTCCTGCTGACTCTGCTGAGGTTCTTCTTCTGCTACCAGAAGCTGTACAAGCCGCTGAGGCTAACGCTAGCAAGGAGGGCAAAGGTCAGGGAGGGGCAGCTCTGCTGAGGAAGGAGGAGGAGGCAGATGGAGGAGTGGTGGCGCTGTACCGCTCTCTGCTGTTTGTCCACAGAGAGGGAGGAGGCGCAGCCTGCAGGGAGGAGGGAGAAGGAGGACAGACGGTTACTCTGAAGCCATCAGGAGACGAGACGGGGAGGGAGGACAGAGGAGTGTACAGGAGGAGCATGTACCGCCTGGTCAGCAGGGAGGAGGAGCTGGAGGGTGGAGGGAGGTGCTGGAGGAGTGCCGGGTCTCTGCAGAGGACGGAGGCAGGAAGAGAGGGAGCAGGAGGGAGGAGGCAGCAGGAGGAGGAGCAGCAGGAGCAGAAGGAGGAGCAGGCGTCTCCAGGAAACGCTACAGCGTGATTCTGAGGGAGGAGCGGGAGGAGGCGGGCGGAGGGCGGGAGGAGCTGGACTGGGTGGTGAGGATGGGAGGCGGGCCGAGGAGCAGAGGAGGAGGTGAGGAGCAGCTGGGGGGAGTGGCTGGCCGGGTATTTACCCAGCATGCCGTGGGGCCTGGCTGCTCCTCCTGAGGAGGCGGCAGCAGCAAAGTGAGGAGTCCTGCTGGTTTCCTCCCAGTTATTTTATTTTAGCCACCAGATGAAGGCGCCATCAGGGGTCACATTAGGCCCACTGTCACTGACCTCTGACCTTCAGTGACCTTCATCCTCCAGGTTCTTGCTATGCCTCTGCAGATGACTCCTGGTTTCCTATTTCCTTGTTTCCTGTCTCCTTGTTTCTTGTCTCCTTGTTTCCTGTCCTGGTCTCCTCGTTTCCTGTCTCCTTGTTTCCTGTCTCCTTGTCTCCTGTCTCCTTGTTTCCTGTCTCCTTGTTTCCTGTCTCCTGGTTTCCTGTCTCCTTGTTTCCTGTCTCCTTGTCTCCTTCCTCTGAGCATCGCCGCGTTTACTGCATGTTACCATGGAAACGCTGTGCACCAATTAAAGCTCACCTGAAAACACACCTGTCCTCATGTCTTCATTGAATGCGTCACTGATTCGTTCAGCACCAGGTTTGGTGACAGGACTTTGACTAGGCCAGTTCAGACTGCGTTAGCATTTAGGCTAACATCAAATGCTAACATCCTCTGGTTGT